AAATGTTGGAATATCAGTATTTATTTTAGATTATTATATTCACATTGTAATTAATTATATATAATTTAATTAATTGTGTTTTATATCTAAGAATATTTTGTTGTATAGATATATATATATATATGACCTTTGTATATACAATGAAGACAAAAAAGCAATAAACTCTTCTTCAAATATTTCTCTTTTTTTGTTTCTCCTTCATTTTATCTTCTTGCCCAAAGCAATTTTGGGATGAAACTATTTTTATAACTTTTTATCTCATTAATTGCATTCCATCATTAGTCCTCAATAACTAGTCTTCCTACAATCATTTGCATAGCATTCTTCTTGCCTATGATCTTATTAAGGTTTTTGGTTGTGCATGTTTTGTCCTTCCTTCACCTCATGAATATAACAAGTTAGAGCCTAAAGTTAGATTATGTTGTTTTTTAGGTTATAGGATTACACAAAAAAGATATTATTGTTGGGATCCTGTGTCACAAAAACTTTGAATTTCATATCATGTTATCTTTTGAGAACACAATGTATTGTCATTATTGTCAGACTTCAAAGTGTCATCCTTTTATCGACCTCCATTTTTTACTAATCCTATTATTGTGTTATTTTTAAGTGATTTTGATGCAGGTACATTTAATGAGCTTTACAATGCCTCACCACATGCTCCAATTAGTTTTGCAGAAGATGATTTGCTTGCTTGTAATGAATTAAGATAATTCTGAGCCTTCCCTCACTTCATCATTTGTATTACTTGTTGATGTTACATCTAATATTGTTGAGTTTGGAAATGAGTTTGTTATCCCACTCTTGAGTCATCCTACTCAGGTAAGAAACCCTCTTAACTACCTTTGTGATTATCATTGTTTTTTTGCTATTACTTCTTTACATGAGCCTCAATCCCATCAAGAGGCCTCTTCTAACCCTCTTTGATAACAAGTTATGCAAGATGAATTACAAGCTCTTAAGAACACTCATATATAGGATTTAGTTGATATCCCTACTAAAAAGTCTCTGAAGGGCTATAAATAGGTCTACAAGATCAAAACGTGATTTGATGGTTTTGTGGAACGTTATAAGACACACTTGGTTGCCAAGAGTTTTACACATGAGTATGGAATATACTATGAGGAAACACTTGCTTCAATTGCTCGTCTCACATTTGTGCATAGTTCGCTTACTATTGCTGTTATACGAAGATAAAAATTGTTTTAGATGGATGTGAAAAATCCTTTTCTTAATGGTGACCTACAAGAAGAAATTTATATGAAACCACCTCCTAAACTCAATCATCCTCCAAACAAGGTATGCTAATTGCGACATGCATTACACAAGTTGAAGGAATCCCCTTGAACTTGGTATGCAAAGTTTAGTTCTACTGTGAGTGTGTTTGGTTCTACTTCCAATCCACATGATATAGCTTTGTTCATTCATAAGATTGTTCGAGGTATGGTTCTTTTACTTCTTTATGTTGATAACACAATTATTACTAGAGATGATATCGTAAGTATTGATAAGTTAAAATGGTCTTTAGTTGAAAATTTGAGATGAAAGATCTTGATGTTCTAAGCTATTTTTTGGGGTTTGAAGTTGCCTCTCCAAATGATGGCTATCTACTTTCTCAAGTAAAGAATGCCTCAAATCTTATTTATAAAGCTAAACTCAATGATAGCAAAAATGTTTCTACACCTCTTAAACCTAATGTTAAACTTACATCTATAGATGGCTCTCCACTTTTTGATTTTACTCACTATTGGTAATTGGTTAGTAGTATAATTTATCTTATCACGACTTACCCTCACATAGCATATACTATTCAAATTGTTAATCAATTTATTATTGCTTCCC